CAGGATATTCGCGCTCACCGTCAGAAGCAGGAGTCAGGGATGCGCCGACGCGATCTCGACGCTGCTGCCCGCGGGAAACCCCGCGCGGGGAAACGGCCTCGGACCCGAGGGCATTTGGGCGCGCAGCTCACTTGTGGAAACCGCTGGCGAGACGCACGTTCCTGGCAGGCGCCGTCTGCGAGGAGCCGTTGGTGGAGGTGGGTGGCGAGATTAACATTCAGGAGTGGATGGAGGCGGAGGCGGCTAGGATGCCGGGGGCGGCCGCGACAGGGAAGGGGGGTCAGCGGGAGGCGAGGTCGCTCGCAGTCTCTCGTAGTGCTGGGCGCCTGTCTTCGAGCGTTCTCATCCCGCGCCTCGCCGAGCAGAGGCGCGCGCTCGTCACTTCGCTTCCTCGGGGGACTTTGCAACCTGAAGCCGCCCCTCCTGGACGACGTCTCGGGGCTCATCCCTAGGGCGCCCAGGGCTGCGCCGTGGCCTGGTGGCCTCCGCTACTGCGCGTGGGGCGTGGGGCAGGGCCCCGAGATCCGCCTCGAGGTCCTCCGCTGGGTATCCGCTGGCCACTGCCTGTCATGTGATTTCGCAGCCCCGTTGGCCGCGTTCTTGCCGAAGCCCCCGCGAGCCCCCGACTGCGCGCCCGCAGCTGGAGTGGCCCTCGGAGACCCTGGAGACATGAGGCACCTTGGGCTGAAGAACGCTGGCAATGGGGCGGTCTGCGGGGTCCTCAACGGTCGCCGCTCTGCGGTCGCCGAGAAGGTAGGGCCCCGTGCCCGCGACGGCTTCATCAGGGGCCGCCACGTCCTCGCGAACGTCGTGGAGCTCGACGCCCGCGCCCGCCAGGCCAGCATCAGAGCCCACATGTTCCCTGAGGGCTCCCCATGCACCCATCACCTTCGACTTTGCATAAGCCTTCCCATCAGTAAGTCATCCATGGATGTTTATATGCCTGGAAAGCCTGTGCCTACCGCGTCCGTCGTTATGCGCTCTCAGACATACATATCAGATGACGCTGTGGTTCTGTCGTACATATACATGATGTCTTCGGGAGTATTGAAAGGCTGTCCACTGAGCGGATCGCTTCGCGTCGTTGCGGCCAACCCGTTCTTGGAAGATATGATTGCGATCTTCTCGAGTCCACGACCTCGTTGGGTCATGCCCGCGCGTGCGTTGATGATCCAGGCGCTATCATGATACAGAACCGTGGCTATAGAAGGATGGCTCGAATCTTTCGCAAAGCAGTGCTGATCGCGAACCTGTGCTTGAAATTGCCCAAATGTTGGGCCATCCTTTTGGGCCGACCATTGAATGCGGATGCGGGGCAGTGCTTGCGCAGGGCCCTGGAAGTGGCGCGAGCGGAATGGCGAGGGCGTGGGATCTCTGATGCGAGTGCGCATCTTGGCCTCCAGATTGGCCCAAGGGCCGCAATTGCTGCTGAATGGGATGGGTCATCCCCGAAGATGCACAGTCGGCTGTTGGGTCTGACTGCGTCGGGCGCCCCGCGCTCTGCGATGCTGCAGTTGTGCCGTGAGAGGGCGCTCTCAGTTATGTCGTATGCGGCGCAGATGGCATCGTTCAGTTCGGCGCAGGGTCAGCGCCGGAGGCATCGCGTGGCACGACTACTCCGACCGGCCAGCGGCATACTCGGGATGGGGGTGATTGCTTGAACATGTACGAACTTGGTGGCCAAAGGATCTCGCCGATGTATGCAATGACGGCGGCGGCTCGGATGCGGGCGAGTCTCATCACCTGCTTGTCGTGGAGAACGCTCTTATTTTGACGGCTTCGCCACCTGGTGCAATCTCCAGCAGTTGGCTCCGCCGTTCTGGAGGCCCCTACCATCCGCGAGTTGTTGGGAAGCGGCGTAGGAAGGGAATCCATCGGGCGCGAGACTCGGACGCGCTGGCCCACTATCTCTATCTGTGTGGAGACGAAGAGGGACGGAGATTTGACCTGCAGTCGCGGAGCTGTTTGGCGACCAGCTCCTCCGCCATATCAGTTCAACTCCTGAGAGAGCGACGAGAGCACGTGCCTCCGAGCGGTCCCCGCGGGTAAAGTGGCAGGTCGTTTCCCAGGTCGTTCTGCAGCGCAGCGTTTTCCCACCTCACCTTGGACAGATCATGCGACGACGTGTTGCCAAACACTTTGGCATTCATGATCTTAACACTGCCCGAGATAAGCGCCCGATGAGGATATCCCTCGCGCGTGGAGACCCATTGTAATGAAGAAGATGCTGGGCGGCTGGGTCACCGACACTCGTATGCAGCGTGAAGCTGGTTGTGTATACAGACGCCCTGACGATCGAGACTCTGTTGCCCATTCTGTATGTGGGTGTGGAAGGCTCCACCACTTCGCGGCGCTGGTCTTGCACGTCAGCTTGCCTGCCACGCCGCATGGCCGACTATGTCGGACAGAGTCTGCTGCGCTCGTTGTGGCCATGTTTCAGCACTATCGACTGGTGTCCCATCGGTTCTCGCAGATCCCGAGCTACCCTGAGGCACATGCGCTCAATGACGTTGCGAGGACAGCGTTGCGTCTACCTCTGCGGGGAGCTCAAAGGAAGCTGCAGGCTCGCGGTGTGCTGCGCGAAGCCTCGACGAAAGATCGTCAATGTATTTCGACTTCGTCGGCCGCGTCGTCGGCCAGCAGCTCTTCGGCCATATCATCATCTTACCGCTTGTGGCCGAGCAGCTCATCTTCAAGTTCCACGGGCGGCCCGGCGGCCATCCCTTCGTCCGCTCCTGTTGGTTCAGCGCAGGGTTTAGCGACTTCGGATATCGAAGGGCCGAAGAGCGATCTTTCGCCATCGGTTCATCGGACGGTACCCGCGAGGTCCAGCTGTGCCTCAGGACCTGAGACAGGCGGGAGCGTGGGGCGATAGGCGGCGAGACGGACCACGCCTCCAGCCCACGCTCCGCCTCCTCCCCCCCCTCCTCCTCCATTTCCTCCTCCTCCGCCTCCATCCCTTCCTCCTCCTCCCTTTCCTCCTCCTCCTCCTCCTCCTCCTTCCCTCCCCCCCTCCTCCCCCTACCTCCTCCTATCGTTCCCCCTCCTCCTCCTCCTCCTCCTCCTCCTCTCCTCTCCTCCTCTCCTTCCACCACCTCCTCCTCCTCCTCTCCTCCCCTCCCCCCCTCCTCTTCCTCACGTCGCCCACGGCCCGGGGGAAACCGTGATAGGGGGGGGGGGGGGGGATGGGGGGGGGCAGTTCGCCTGGCGCCTCAACTTCAGGGGGGAGCTATTCCGAACTGTTCAGGAATTCGAACTGTTCAGGAATCTGTTCCAAACGCGCGTCCAAGAGACGCTATCACGGCAGGTACAGAATAGGGATGTGGATGTGGATCGGGGTGTGGACAGACCATGGAAGACAGCGGGAGACTACGGGAGACAATGAGATGGCGTGTGTGACAACGGGGGACAACATGAGACAATGGGAGACTGTGGGAGACTGTGGGAGACAGTGGTTAGCAACGGGAGCCCAATGAGAGACCATGGGAGACGAGGTCGCCCGACCGACTCTCAACGGGATGCAATGGGGAGACAAAGGCGGACAACAGGAGACAACGTCGCCCAACCGCTGCAGGATCTGGCAATCTCCGTTTTAGCTTTGCTAAGCATCGCCCCCGCAGGCTATGTGTTTTCGGGAAGCGCTGGTTACATCCGTGCGACAGAAAACCCTTAACACTTTTAATTGAAGGTGGGCCGGAGAAGGGCATACCGGAGGCATCGTGAGACAACGGAAAGTAACGTGAGGCAAAGGAAGACAGTGGTAGGCAACGGGAGGCTATTGGAAACAACGGCAGGCGACGGGAGTCAGACAATGGGAGTCAACGGGCGACAATGGGAGACAGCGGGCGAAAACGGTAGACAGCGGGCGACAACGGGAGACAGCGAAAGACAGCGGGAGGCAACGGGAGACGCCGGGAGACAGTGGCGCCCCGCCAGATTCCAGATCAGGCGATCCCCGCAGTCGGCTTCTCAACAACAAACCTGGTTTGGGACGCTCACAGGCAAAACTGCTTGGGGAATGATGACCAAAATGTAACGGAATCTCGTGTTTCGTCGACGCCGATATTGGTCATGGTCCATGTTGGCCTCCGCCCATTCGTGAGGAAGAACCCTAAGGTGACGATGACCAGCATGGAACGTGTTCAAGATCGGCATTAACGTTTCCACGTTCAGCCTTGGTCATGGTCATCGGCTTCTTTCCCTCAACAGTGGTTTCTCGCACCCAGCGTTTGGCACCTCATGGGGCGCCGGCCATGGGGCACCAGGGCCGCCAGAAGTCGCGACGAGGGAGAATCGAATAACACCAGCAATATACCAGAAGTCGAGACAACCAGCGCATCACGGGGCATCGGCCCTAGGGCACCAGGGCCGTAGCCAGACATCGCGACATACAGTTCATCGTATGGTAGGTTCGCGTCGTGTCAACCGTCGGAGATCCCGCCGCTGGCGCTCGACGTGGAGCGCCGCCAGCGGCCCAGACTAGGTCGACGTGCGTCGATTTGCCGTTTCGTCAACGGCCGATCGTTTCAGGTTGCACGATCCCCGCGGTGTCAGCAACCAACCCCGAAGTCGGCACGGCACGAACCTGCCGTAGGGGGCCAGGGCATCCGCCAGAATGCACACTTGCAGCAGCCAGGAGTCGCGGCGGGCGGGGCATCACAGCACATCAGCCACAGGACACCATCCACAAGGCCACTTGGCGGCCACCAGCGGTCGCGGCAAACGGTGCATCACAGCGCCCCAGCCATAGTGCCGCCACCCATGGCGCACCCAGAAGTTTTTGGAACCTTCACAGGATCGCCCCCTCCCCCCGACTTCCCTGAGACCTGGGCGCTGCACTTGCTTCGCAACGGGCGTTTTCGTCCACTTCGGGCCCCTGGGTCGACCTGGCGAGAGACCGCAGCAGAAACATGGGTTTCAGGGCTCGGGTCGTGATTGTTTGTACGATGTTCCAACTTCGTCGGCGCGTCGGATCTCGTGGCCCCCCCGCCCCCGCACAGGTGGCTCCCTGAGCATCTCCGTGTCCGAGCCGGCAGCTTTCGCCAGCGACCCGTTGGCTCAGAGCGCCGTCGCGTCGGTGCCGCCGAGCGCCTCTCTTTTTCTGTTGGTGGTGGCACTACGTCGGGCGTGTCCCTCTGCAGGAGCAGTATTCAAACATGATAAGACAGTCTGGGGACGACTTGCTGAGAATGGTTTGTTTATTTGTTTGAATAGTTGTTGCGTCTTTTAAATGTTCGTCCAAAATCCGCCTGCAGGAGGACACGCCCGACTTAAAATGGTGGCACCAGGGGAGGGCGAGTCCGTCAATGTGGTTCTGAGGGGCAGCGTGAGGGGGAACAGGCTCAGGGTGGAACGCATCAACCCCCACTCGCCCATGCATCGCCGAGAGGGGCCCGATGGCCTATAGCCCCGCACAGGAGCGTGCGGACTCGCCATCGGGGGCCTGCTGCCGATCATTCTCCCTTCTCCCTCCGCATCCTTCTTCCCTCCCTCCCTTCTTCTTCTTCTTCTTCTTCTCCTCCTCCTCCTCCTCCTCCTCCTCCTTATGCCTTATGCCTCTCCTCCTTTCCGCTCCGTAATGCAAACGACTTGTGGAGATTCGTTCGTGACAGCGTTCAGCTTGTTCAGTCATGTCGCTCTGATCGGCTAGCGCAAACCTTGGTGACGACTCATCCTGGACGTGGTAGCTGAACGCGGGCCTCGTTGCGCGGGGCAAAGCTCGCTAAGCTTGGCGGCGGCGAGAGACAGCCGATTCACGCCATCTATCCAGAACAAGCCCCTGCGAGTTGTGATCGGACGCTAATCCATGCCTCAGCGGTTCTCGCAGCGGTGCTCTCAGCGGTACTTTCAGCCTTGCGGGCAGCGGATCACCGCTCGCACCACGCCTCGAAAGAATGCCCCCAGCCGTCGCCAAACACCGCCCCACCCACCAAGCACCGGCCCAGCTTCTCGCAAGAACATCTGCTTCTCCTGCATAGGGCTTAGGACGGTTAGGAGGCTGCATGACTGCATTGGGGGGCAAAGGGGGAGAACAACGAGGAATTGGGGAGGGGGGCGACATCGAGTCATTAGCAGGATGATCGCGCGAGAACGGAGGAGCGAGCGCGAAGTGGGCTCCTGGTGGCGTTGTCGCGTCCCCTCTTGCTGACGCCAGGCTGGTGGTGCCGAGCATCACAGGACGGCAATGTCCTTCGCCGAAGCGTTGTAAAGACGCTGTGGGTACCCAGTCGAGAGCGGAGGAGGGACGCAGCAACAGGAGGGGGTCAAGGTCAATGCCCCCCCCTCCTGGGGGCAGCCCCCCCTTCTCGTCTCCATCCCGTTCATCCTCACGGCCTCCCTTGGGGCCCCTGAGCCACTGTCAAAAATCCTCACGGCCACAGGCTCAAAGCAGCAGGATGAGACGCACCGGGTAAGGACAAGCAGGAGGAGGAGGAGGAGGAGGAGGAGGAGGAGGAGTTGGAGAAGGAGGAGGAGGGGGAGGAGGAGGAGGAGGAGGAGGACAAGAACCACAAGGAGGAGGTGGAGGAGGAGGAGGAGGAGTACAACGAGGGCAAGGAGAGGGAGGAGGAGGAGGAGGAGGAGGAGGAGGAGGAGGAGGAGGAGAAGGAAGAGGAGGCGGAGGAGGACCAGTGCAAACCCAAGGCTCATTAACGAGATTGCAATCAACCCTCCCTCCAATTCCCCTTTCCATTGGGCCCTACAGGGGCCGTTTTCGCCGAGTGGAGTGCCCTGTTCGCAAACAGCCGTTTGAAAATCTTGAACTGTGCCAGAACACCGTTACTGGGTTTGAACACCACGATTCACTGTAGTTGTTGCGTCTTGACGGTTCTGAATCGTGCCTGAACACCTTTCCTGGGACTTCAACTCCGCGAATCAACCTGACTGTTGCGCCCTGGCAGTCTGACATGTTGACAGAACACTGGTTCTGCGCGTTGGCTATGAGAATTCTTGAAATGAAGCTGCAGTTAATTAACTCTTTAGACGAGTTTTGAAACGGAGCCGCCCATCCGTGAAGCTCCTGCAGTTGTTTGAACAAATGCGCGCTGCGCCATGGCCAGAGCCACATTCTGAAAACGACCCGCCCTCCATCCGTGAAGTTCTTATAGGTGTCTAAAAGAATGTGCGTGGCGCCAATGCGAGAGCCACATTTTGAGAACGACCCCCCCCATCTGTGAAGCTCTTGGAATGTTTGAAAGCGACTGTGCGCGGCGCCAAGGCGAGAGCCACATTTCGAAAGCGACCCGCATTCCATCCGTGTAATGGTTGCCACTTTGACGATTGAGGATCCTATTTGGCGAGGACGTCTCAGGCGGAACGCCCAGCCCACCCTTTCGACCAGCCTCGGGGTGCGACAGGGAGGAGCTATTCTAAGTAAAGGAAAATGAAGGACAGACAGGATCAACAGGATTCACCGGCCCTCATTCTACCGTGTAGGACGGACTTGCCGTTGCCCAGGGGCCCTCACCCCAAAGGCCTTCACGTGGTCGGGTTTTGGCCCTTCCGCAGACGATTCAATCTGCCTTGTGCATTGGCTCGGCGGCCCCTGCACACGCTCCTGCAGAGACTCTGCCAACGCTGCTGAGCGTGGCAGGCGCACTTTACAAAACGCACAGCCTGGTCGGATCACGAGCTGGTGCCGATATGTCTGTGCCAGCTCTGCCCTGCGAGCCGCGTCTGGGCCGACCTGGCCGAGGGGCGTCCAGCCTCCTCCGAGGGCCCGTCCGCTTCCCTGGCCCCCCCACGCTGCTACACGACGCAAGCACCCGTCCCACTAGTACTCGGGGCCCGCAGCGGCCCGTCATTGGATGTGCTAGTTACTTCTGGTGACAGGGCCAGGACTTTCGCATTGAATTTCAACGTGAAGTGCTCCGGACCTGTTCACAAGTGCGCAGGTGAATCTCGACGTGCCGCCCCGGGTATGCTAGCGAGGCTGCTTCTAGCTTTGCACCTCCGTCTGCGGCCTTACCGTGAGCGGCTCGAACGAGGAACACTTACTTTTCAAAAGGGGTTCGGTCGTTCCTTCGGCCTGCATGCGTTATTTATCGTTCCTTATGCGTTGCTTATTATGTATCGTGTGCGTTACTCCCTGGAAAAAAGGGGACTTCGTTCCTTATTTACCGTTCCCTAGGTCAGGCCGATGACTGTATTGCCCTGGATGCGTTTCACATCTATGGCTCGGCGTTCGATTACCGTGGCATGTGCCTTCACATTTTTGACCTGGTGCGCCTGTGGGCCCATTCCGCCTAGCTCCGAAATAGGGTGCTCGGCTGGCACGCGGGCTCGAAATGCGCGTGTATAACTCCAGCCGGGCCTTCTACACGAGGCGCTGCGCAATTGACAACTCGGCCGCCGACCCATCCCAGAGCAATTTCCACACTGCGCACGATTTGACGCCTGTGCTTCATCCCGGTCTTCTTCTGTCTCTCCCTCCTCGTCGTTCTCCTTCCCGCTGGCGACCGGGTCGGGGAAATGGGCGGTCTCTGTCGAACTGTCATCACTTGTCAGACCAGCTTTGCCCGCACCATTCCGCATCCTGGCAGCAGGCCGCGCACATCCCAGATGATGTACCTCTTTCGTCGCGCTTTGGCAGGCTTCTGCTGTCCAGAGCCCCACCCGTTTCCTCCCCGCCTTGCGTGCATGCGTTCCTTGCTTTCCCTCCTCGGCCTTCCCCTCTGCCTCTCTCTTGGGTCGGGTCGGGGTGAGGGGGCTGGCACTGGGGGGAGGACGCGCGACGAGCTCTGGACCAGAGTAGTTGGCCGCAGTTGTGCCAGCGGGACCCGTCCAGCGAATGATCTAACATGAGACTCACTCGGCATTCCCATTGCGGGCGCATTCAATGCCAATGGCAAGCCTGTCAGAGCCGTCACACCCAGAAGCGGTTGCGCTTGAACCGCGATCGCTGTTCACCTCCTGCCCACAACACTGTGCAAACCGCAGGAGGGAGCATTTGAAACACAGTCTATTCCCCACCTCCCGCCCCACGCTTCACCCGTACGTTCTTCATCACACGGGTAAGCATGGTCACGCAAGCCCTTCCGCCCATATGCTCATCCGCGCGGCTGACCAAGAGGGAACAGGACGCAGGGGGGGGAGCTGAGGATGGGGCGGGTGTTGGAGAAAGCGACGTGCTTTGAACCAGACTGGTCGTCACAGCCGTGACGGCGCGACTGGTCCAGCAAATGCCTTCAGGCTTGGACATGACTCACCCGCTATCCACTGCGCGCGCCACAGGGATGCAACCCTCGACTTGTCAAAGCCGTCCTGTCACCAGACAACTCCGGCGACGGCGACGTTCCTCCCATCTCCTCCCCCCTTCCTCCCCTTTCTTTTTCTTCGTGAACCTCTCCGGGGGCTCCACCGTCTCCGCGGCCGTTGCCCGGGGTTCGATTCGCCCATCTCGACTACTCGCGCAGCTGACCAACAGGGATCGGGAGTCAGGGGAAAAGCTGGGAGGATTCGCGACGAACTCTGAACCAGACGGGCCGCAGCCGTGCCGGCGCGACCTGGCCAGCGAATGATCTAACGTGAGACGCATTCGGCATTCTCACTTTGAGCGCCGCAGGTTCGCAACCTGCAGTGCGAACGCCAGACCTGCCATAGCCACGGTGTCCATGGCAGGGCTGGGTTGACGGTGTCATCAGACTGGCCGGAGCCACGCCCAGCGAGAACGCCACCGCTGATTGCTCATTGCAACCCGGCCACGCTCGGCGAGAACGCCACCGCTGACGGCCAACCAACCAGCGGTTCATCAGCGAAAACACCGCCGACGCTGGCGACCGCACCCAGCCTCCCCCAATCCTTCTTTCATCCTCGCCTTCCTCCGTCCTATCCCTTGGCGCGCGCCCGTGGCACAGCCACAACGGGGTCCGTGTTGGCGGCGGGGGGGTGGGATGAATCGGGAGGGGAGGTCGCATCAGCGTGTGGATGACGAGGGCGAGAATCCTTCTTTTGCCCATCTTCGCCGGTGGCACGGCGCAGCCAGGGAGTCGACCAACCCCACCAGCAGCGACCGCTGCTGGGGGGGGGGGGGAGCTGGGGGGCGCGTTCGAAGAACTCTGAGGCCGTCAGTCCTGAGTCCTGCTACGGAGGAGGAGGACGAGAAGGAGGAGGAGGCGGAGGAGGAGGACGAGGAGTAGGAGGAGGGGTAGGGAGGAGGAGGAGGAGGAGGAGGACGAGGAGGACGAGGAGGAGGAGGAGGACGAGGAGGACGAGGAGTAGAAGGAGGACGAGGAGGAGGACGCAGAGGACGAGGAGGAGGAGGACGAGGAGGAGGAGGAGGAGCCTGGGAACGCGCTGGGCTCAGCCACCCCCCCCTGCAGTCGCTCGCCACCGTCTTCGGCCTCACGCAGCAGCAGGCCGACAACAACCTCGCGGTGTCGCTCTCCGTGGCCAGGCGCCCCTCCTACGCGATCCCCCCTTGCCCCCTTTACCACGAAGGAGGGCCCAGAGCTCTTCTTGGCGCTCGGGGGAAAAATCAACACAGTCAACCCGCATAGCTGGCCAGCCTCGCTCGAAAAACGCGAAGGTGCCCCCCCCAAGGCCCTTGCATCCTTATCGCGCGTCCTTATTATCCGTAAGGGCTTCGCCCCCTGCTGCCGGCTCCTTCTCGATCATAATGGGTCAGAATGGGATCTATCAGAGTCGCGTCGGTGCGTCTCAGCGCTGCCTTGGCGCATCTGGGAACAACATGCGGGGGCGGATAGGAATCATCAGCGCAAATGAAGACGTTGCCGTTATCGAAGACGCCTACGGCGAATCACCGCCGCTCCCTGCCTTTTTGGAAGCGCCTGCGTGGCCGAAAGTTGGGTTGGAGCTTGGCCAAGCTATCGGGCCACGCGTTCCCCGAGTGGGTTTCGAAAGCTTTCGGGGAACACGGAGTCGGGCGAGCTATCGGACCAGGTGGTTTCCGAGCTTTCGGGTTTACTGGAGGACGTCTTGGAGGGCTCTTGGGCCGTCTTGGAGGCCTCTTGCGGGCCGTTTGGGCCGTCATACGCCGTCAGTAGCCGTCTTGGCGGCCTCTCTGAACGGACTTGAGGTCCTCTTGGGGCGCTTCAGGGCTGTCTTGGAGACCATCTTGGGCGTCTTGGAGGCCTCTTGGGCCGTCTTGGGGCCTTCTTGAGGCCCTCTAGGGGGCCTCTTGGGCTGACTAGGGCCATGGGCTGACTGGGGCCATCTTAGAGGCCTCTTGGGCGCTCTTGGGTCGATGTTGGGGGCCGCTTGGACCGTCTTGGGCCGTCGGAGAGCTGAAAAGGAGCGAACGCTACAATCCTTGGAACACCTAAGGCAATTCAATGATTTGGGCCCTTTCGGGCCTTCCTGGAGGACGTCTCGGAGGGCTCTTGGGCCGTCTTGGGGGCCTCTTGCGGGCCTATAGGGTCGTCTTAGGCCATCTTGAGGCCATGTTGGGCCGTCTTGGGCGCTCCTTCGGGCCACCTTAGCCGTTTTGACAACCATCTTGGGCGTCTCGGGGGCATTTTGGAGGCCATCTTGGCTGTCTTGGAGGCTATCTTGGGCGTCTTGGGGGCCTCTTGGGCCGTCTTGGGGCCTTCTTGGAGCCCTCTTGGGGGCCTCTTGGGCTGTCATGGGGCCATCTTGGAGGCCTCTTGGGCGCTCTTGGGTCGGTGTTGGGGGCCGCTTGGGCCGTCTTGTGCCGTCGGAGAGCTGAGAAGGGCAACGCAATGATTTAAACCCTGTCGGGCCTTCCTGGAGGACGTCTTGGAATGCTCTTGGGCCGTCTTGGGGGCTCTTGCGGGCCTTTTGGGCAGTCTTAGGCCGTCTTGAGGCCATCTTGGGCCGTCTTGGGTGCATTTTGGGGCCATCTTGGCCGTCTTGGAGGCATCTTGGAGACCCATCTTGGGCGTCTTGGAGGCCATCTGGGGCTTCTTGGGAGCCTCTGGGGCCGTCTCGGGGCCTTTTAGTGGCCGTCTTTGGGGCCTCTTGGGCCGTCCATGGGCCGTCTTGGAGGCTTCTTGGGCACTCTTGGGGCGATCTTGATGGCCTCTTGGGCAGTCTTGGGCCGTCAGAAGGCCGAAAAGGAGCAAAAGCCAAAATCCTTGGAAAACCCAAGGGAAATCAATAATTTTGACCTCTTCGGGCCGTCCTTGAGGACCCTGGGGGACCTGTTCGAGGCCTCTTGGGCCGTCTTGGAGGCCTCTTGGAGGCCTCTGGGGCCGTCTTGGGCCGTCTCAGGTGTTTCTTGTGCGAACTTGGAGGCATCCTAGACTTTTCTGGGCCGTCTTCGAGGCCATCTTGGACCATCTTAGGCGATCTTGGAGTCCATCTTGGAGACCATCTTGGCCATCTTGGAGGCCATCTTGGAGTCGTCTGGAGCCGAAAAACTTTTTGCAACCGCCTGTTGTGCATCTCTGCGCGCCCTTCCGGATGGCCGAAGCCCAGGGGGAGTTCTTTTGGAGAAGAACCGAAACCAAAAGCGAAAGGGTTCAGCACGCCGGGCACCCCTGTGATGAATCAACAGGGGGCGGCGGATCGAAGACGCCTGCTGCGAATCACCGGCCCCCCCCTGCCCTTGTGGAAGCGCCTATGTGTCCAACAGCTAGGCTAGAGCTTGGCCAAGCTATCGGACCATGTGTTCCCCGAGTCGATTTGGAAAGGTTTCGGGGAACGCGGGGGGGAGGAAGGGGAGGAGGAGAAGAACGAGGAAAAAGGAGAAGGGGGAGGATGCCTCTTCGGAGCTTCTTGAGGCACTCTTGGGCTCGATTGGGCCATTCTTGGAGGCCAAGTTGGGGCTATCTTGGGCTCTCTTGGGGCCTCTTGAGGGCCTCTTGGGGTCCTTTTGGGGCTTCTCGGGGCTTCTTCCGTCGGGAGTTGTCTTGGAGCCCTCTCTGGGCCGTCTTGGGGCCCTCTTGGGGCGCTTCAGGGCCGTCTTGGAGAC